ATATATATGTATGTTGACTACCTTTTCACAGATTTTCAACACAAACCTGTGTGTTTAATCTGCTTGGAGACGCTGTCTAACATGAAGGAAGTTGCCCATCTCTAGATGTCCTGTTCTTATTTGAAAATCAGTTGTGCTATAATTCTGAACTTTTGCCTTAACAAAAGCTGCTTGATTTTTTTTGAAGGTGTAAAATGTCGTGATTTTTTTTATTAAACTAATAATTTGGTAGTTCATGTTTCCAACCAGTTTGATTCATCTGCACATACATTTTTTTTTATTTCAACAGAAAAATAGCAAAACAGTATAATTTTCCTGGGGTGACACACTCAATCTTTGGGGTGAAAAAAAAAAAAGGTTTATTACAGGTTATTTAATAGAAAAAATTAGGCCTGATTATTAAATTTACCCACTGAAAAAAAAAACTACTCTGAACATTTATATTATAATATATTTTCTTTAGAGTTTAATGGCAGTGTGTAATTTTGGTATTTTGGTGCTTGAAAGTCCTTTTAAGGCCTGGCCGTTTTACAAGCTTTATTTTCTTTGGATATTAACWGCTTATATCACTTTAAGAAGAAAACGAAAGACTTCACGCTGACACTCAAAACCAGGAAGTCTGTGTAGTCAAATAAAAGAACAAACATTTCAACAGACCGTCTCCGAACAGCTCGAACCTGATATGTTTGAATAAAGTCTAATATTTTTTTTTCTTTCTTGGGACTCTGTTACTTGCAGTGTTTCTGTTATCATCTTACCCAGGTTTGACTCTGCCATGTTTCCTAGCTGAGTTCTCCTTTTCCTGATGACGTCACACCAGCCAGAACCAATCAGAAAACGGCTCAAGTGTGACAGCTTGACAGTACAAACAAAATACWATATTTTCTTTATATTTATAGACTTTTAATTGTTTTCATCATCCAATTCCTGAAATATATATTTTTATTAATTTAAGTGGCAGTGAGATTTAGTGATTGTTCTGTACCATCCACCAAAGTTTTAAAGCTGAAAAGTTTTGAGCGTTTTCATCTCAACAGGGTCCGAACACAACACACATCACTTTATTGGTCAGATTTCTTATGTTCCATTTATTAGTTAAAGGCCGAATTAAGGATAAAACATTTTTAAGAAATTGCAAAAATAGAGTTACATTGCGTTAGCGCGCCCCCTGGTGGATATTTCAAATAATGGCGAAGAATAAAGTAACCTTCAGCACCCAGTTATTCGCACACCGCAGCAAGAAAGATAGTAGTAAAGTTAATAAAATTTGTTTCTTCAAAATGACACAGTTGTCACATTTACAGAGTTAATACAGTCACCAGTTCTTAAGTTATTTATAAACACTTGTTAACATTTTAACCTTAAGTTGTCATATATTTGAACTATACAAGAATCTTCTTTTTCACAAATCAAAATTAATTTTAACCACCTAATTTTTTTTCATCAGTCGCGATAAATTAAAATAAATATGCATYAGATGGGGTTCGAACGTCCTCCTTGGGTTGTGGTCACGTGACGGCTCCRCCTCATCACATGACTTTTACTTCCTGTTTCGGCAGCAGCTGCCAGTTGTCGGATGTTTTTCACAGCAGATCCGTGAGGAGTCTCAGTGGAGATTCAGTCAAATCTCTGAACAGAGGGAAGACTGAAGCAGAGATTCGAGTTTAAGGAAGTGGAATCTTTTCCTTTATTGTTTTATTTATTTTTTTCTAATCAAAGACCGGAAGCCGACTCTCCCTGCACTTCAGTAAGTGAATCAACTGTCTATTTTGAGCGCACAGTAAATCACTTTTAAATTTTTGTCAATATTGTTGTTTAAGTTACGTTTAGTTTGTTTTTTAAATAAATATTATGTGCTTAAGAGTTGCATTAGATCAGTGGTTCCCAAAGTTGGGGTCCTGAAAATAATTTCTGAATTAATTACATTAAAAAATGACAACATCGTTTTTTTTGCCTGTGTTGTTACAAAATAATAAGATTAGTGTACTTAAAATGGACAAAAGTAGCATAATAAATAATGTTACTATGCTCTTGTTTGACGTGAAAACAATGTTTATCAACCAACAACAGCTGGGGGGCACAGGGCTCTGCTGCTGATACTTTGTGGGTCAAAAGCTGAAAAGTTTGGGAACCACTGCATTTGTCAGGTGACAGTTTTAAAAGTTACCCAGCTGGTTGATGCAGTCACACCCAAGTCAGGTGAGAGTCAGGAGACTCAACAATGAATTCAGAATGTACTTAATTACTGATGCTCAATTAGTCTTACAGTTATCATTACGTCTTTTCTTCCTGGCATTTATTTCCCTTTAGGAATGAATCTCGCTACACTTGTTTTTGCCTCCGTGGCTGCCGTGACCACCATCGCTCTCGACAACGGACTGATGAAGACCCCTCCGATGGGCTGGCTGGCTTGGGAACGATACCGCTGTAATGTTGATTGTGAGAACGATCCCAAGAACTGCATAAGGCAAGCACGAGTTTACGCAAAAAATAAACCCTGTAATTACAGAGCTACGTTGTGCTTTTATCCCGTTTTTCTCAAATGCAACGCCTTTATTATACCTTTGTAAATCCAAGCTCTTGTTCTGATCACTGTGACGCTCTGTTCTTGTCCTTCCAGTGAGAATCTGTTCATCGACATGGCCGACAGACTCTACGAGGATGGCTGGAAGGAGCTCGGCTACAACTACGTGAACATCGATGACTGCTGGACCCTGAGGGAGAGAGACCAGCAGGGACGACTGCAGGCCGACCCCAAGAGGTGCGCTCATAAAAACTAACCAAGGAACACGTTAGGTTAATTTAAATAAATGCTGTACACTTTCATACCAAACATATTGAATTCAGTTATARTAAGGAAGTTATTGTCATTGTTTGAATGCAAATCTTACTTTAAAAAGTAACTTATAAAATGAAAATAAAAAAGACACGTAACATTTTTCCCTAAAATGTCTATATCTGAATTCTTTGTTGAACCGATACTTTGGTAGRACTTAAACGTATCTATTATTGGTTCACAACAACAACATATAACACAGTCATTGTCATAATTCACATTAAATAATAAAAGAAAAACATTTAAAGAAATAAAAGTAGTTTTGGCCCACCCTATTGAAGGTATTCAGACTCATCCCTATTGTATATTAACAATAATCTGGCCTAAGATGATCAAATCCAGCAGAATTTTTTTCCACAACTTTTTTTTTGAATGTACAATAAAATTTTGCAGTTCTTCKGTGCAAAAACAAACCAATAAAACAAAAGGATGGACAATGTGCCGATCGTATAACTCCATAAAACACACGACTCAGCAGCTTCTCTGCAGATACTGATATGCAGTGTCAGCACAATGTGACACAAACCATTGAATTCCTCACAAAGTCATACTAAACCTCTCAAAATAAAAGTCACTCACGTGGTGGTTTAACCTTCTCAGGTTTCCTGGGGGAATCAAACGTTTGGCAGACTATATGCACAACAGGGGGCTCAAACTAGGCATCTACGGTGACATGGGCACCTACACCTGCATGGGCTACCCCGGCACTCCGGTGGAGAAGATTCAAGTAGACGCGCTGACGTTCGCAGAGTGGGAGGTGGACATGCTTAAATATGACGGCTGTTATTCCAACGACACAGATCAGGCATTGGGTAAGAAGAAGAAGAAGAAGCAGCATTCAGTTTTGGTAGTTTTTGGTGGTAAATCAAAAAGAAAAAAATAAGTAGGTCCTCTGGATGGGTTCTTCTTCAGTGAAACATTTTGTCTCTCCTCCAAGAGACTTCTTCAGTCTGAGCTTCAGGTGAACTCAGCCTTAAAAGCACTGCCTCCACATGGTGGACAAACAGGTTAGTCACATGCAAAAGAGGGCCATCGCTTAACAACAAGCTTAATTAGCTCTATTGTTCATAGAGGGTCATGTGCCCCATCATCTGACTTATTGGTTTGGCTGCTTCAKCTGTGGTTATTTGGTGTTTTGTTATGTGTATGTAGTGAATGCAAGCAGAATTCAACGTCCCCTTGTTTTTGTTCCTCTTTCCCTATTTGAGTTGGTTATCTATGGGGCCCTGATTCACACCTTTTGCTCACAGGGGGCTGAGTTATACTGGCAATAACAGCATTGTAGAAGGAGGACAACTGAACACGAAGGCCTCCACCTCTGTTTAATGGTGGATGGTTTTTTTCTACACAAAAATGGCTTCCTTTACTCCTCTCTCAAACCAACGTTCCTCTCATCCTTGTAAATAAAAACCGTCCACCATTAAACAGAGGTGGAGGCCTTCGTGTTCAGCTGTCTTCCTCCTACAACGCTGTTATTGCAAGTATGACTCAGCCCCCTGTCAGGACCCCAACGATACACAACACAAAGAGGGAAAGAGGGACAAAAACAAGGGGACGTTGAACCCCCGCTTGCATTCACTACATACACATAACAAAACACCAAATARCCACAGCCGAAGCATCCAAACCAATAAGTCACTTGATGGGGCACATGACCCTCTATGAACAATAGAGCTAATCAAGCCTATTGTAAGGCAATGGCCCTCTTTTGCATGTGACTAACCTGTTTGTCCATGTGGAGGCAGTGCTTATAAGGCTGAGTTCACCTGAAGCTCATGAGACTGAAGAAGCCTCTTGGAGGAGAGACGAAACGTTTCACTAAAGAAGAACCCATCCAGAGGACCTACTTATTTTATTTTCTTTTTGATTTTTTTCTACCTGGATTGCTGAGATGTATCAGGACATTTTGGTGGTAAAGTTTTATTGATTCCTCTCACTGTTTCTGGCAGGTTATCCTCTTATGGCTAAGGCTTTAAACAATACAGGCCGACCCATTGGCTACTCCTGCAGCTGGCCCGCGTACCAGGGTGGCCTGCCACCTAAGGTATAAACAATCAAAACTCATAAGTTATATCAGTAAAAAATAGACCACCCAGTTTATGTTTTTCTTGTCAAACCATGTGAAMTGAATGTTTTCAGGTAAATTACACTCAGCTGGGTGAGATCTGTAACCTGTGGCGGAACTATGGTGACATCCAGGACTCTTGGAGCAGCGTGCTGATGATTATTGACTGGGTTTTTACAAACCAGGATGTCCTGACACCTGCAGCGGGACCTGGAAAGTGGAATGATCCTGACATGGTTTGTTTCTCTAACAATAATTTCACACATTAACTGTAACAGTCAGTTTTAAAGTAAAGACGTGTCATACTGACTGATTAATTAATCTCAGGTATCCAGTGATAAATTATGTTGTATGTACGTATATGTATGTAAAAAAAAACATGCATCCAGATCTTTTCTAGACCCTCTGTTAGGATCAGAGTTTTTACAAAACGAGCAAAGACTTCACATAATGCTTGGAAGGAGCACCACCTATCAACTGATGTAGTCTTTATTCAACGCTACGTTTTTAGCTAATTGCTTTCTGGGAATCACAAAAGCAAAAATAATATTTTATCTCTGTTAAATTGTGTCATGTAACTTTGGTATTTTAGAGACTTGACTAAAAAAAGAATGGGTACAAACGTTTTTCTGTGAGATGTTCAACTTGCAACGACAGTTCTGTAGTAACGCGCTAGCTAAAAAGTTGCTAGCTTATAGTAATTTGCTAGCTAGTAGGGAAAGTACTAGTTTCTAGCTTGGAAATTACTAGCTTGCTAGGTAGCACTTTATACTACACGTTTAACAGAGTAGTGAGCTACTAGCTAGCTAATTCTTAAGCTAGGTACAAGCTAAACATTTCATTTAACACCTTACAAGTCCCTTGTAAGGCTCTGTCTTCAAAACTAAAACAGTAGAAGCTGCTGGTGAGCTGCCAGCCAGTAAGGAAATGAACTTTGGCTTTTTTCTATCTACGYACAAAAGACAAACAGTGCGTCACCTCCTTTTGTTGTTCACAGTACTCTACCAAACAATTTCTGAAAAGGGGGAGAAAAAAAAACCTTTAGATATCCCTAATATATTCTTGAACCAAACTACTCTGAAAGTCTGGCTTATTGGGCTATATAAGACTTTTTGATCCTGTACAATTCTTTAGTTTCACCCTCTCTGATTTTGTTTCCATCAGCTGATTATTGGTGACTTTGGCCTCAGTCTGGATCAGTCTCGCAGTCAGATGGCTCTGTGGGCCATCATGGCCGCTCCTCTTTTCATGTCCACTGACCTTCGCACCATCAGCGGCGAGGCTCGGACCATCCTGCAGAACAAAATGATCATCAGCATCGACCAGGATGTGTTGGGCATCCAGGGAAGACGCATTTTGAAGGTAATGTTGGTACTTATAGCAAATGATAAATACTACAAGAAATGTTTTGCATTTTTGTGTCACTCACGAACGACGGAGTATTAGGGCCACACAGCAAGATTTTTAAAAAATTATTATTACGAGAATAAAGTCAGAATATTATGAGAATAAAGTTGAAATATTACGAGAATAAAGTCATAATATTACGAGATTAAAGTCGTAATATTACGAGAAAAAAGTCATAATCTTACATGGCATGTCCATTTTCCATTCCTCATTTCCTCCTTATTTTCCTCACAGCTTCTATGGACAGCCATATTTATGAAGTAGTCCGTGATGACTTGGGTCACTGTTAGATTAATATGCTTTCATCCAAATTAGCTACGTGCC